CTGTTTCAGTCCGTGGCGGAACCGAATAACAGGGTTTTCAAGCATCTTGACACCACCTGGAGGTTCACTGAGGGTTTGCCTGACAACGAGAAATCTTGTACTTTACACTTCACTCTTTCTTTTGAGTTCCGGTCATCACTACATGCGACTCTTGCACATACATTTTTTGATCGGGTAGTTCAGTCCATGGTTTATGCATTTCTAAAAAGAGCTGAACATAAGTATGGGCCACCGTCTTTGGATCATTTCAAGAAAACTACTGTGCTCAAAAAAGTTGGATGACAGCTATAAGTGACGAAGTGTTTATCCATTTGAAACCTTTACCTAATGTAGATATAAGCATTTGTTATATACATATATGTAAATCCTCTAACTGCGAATCTTTTATCCCGTTTGTAACATCGATTAATCATTCTAATAGATTTATTATTGATGTTAATTCTGATACTGTGGATGGTATTTTCTAATTTAATTGCGGGTACCTTTTTCTGTTCTCATCATTTCAGATAGCATTATAACCTTTCTTTTAACGAGGGGAAACTAGAGCTGTTTTTTGTTGCCTTTGCGATCACCATCTAAGAGCAAATTTGATGTGATCTACATAAATTTACCTCATGTTACAGTCATGATTGCTGCTCCACATACTTTTGAGTCTCCATTACCGATAGAATTCGCTCATGTACATTTTTATGAACCTCATTGTGATGAACAGTCAGATCATAAAAAAATGTCATACCAAGAATGCATTGTTCGTTGCCTTCGATATTTTTAGTCAGACTTCTGAAATCTTGTTTTGAAACCAGTAACCTTTAGAAACCGTGGCTGGCTCTACTGCTGTTTCCAAAAGCCGCATGATGTTTTCAGAAGGCTTTTTTTGTAATGGCAGTGTTGTGCTCCGTCTTTTGGTTTTACCTTTTGAATATTTCGCAAAAACAACAACAACCGGGTTAGCAGAAGCAGTCCTTTTTATGACTTATTATTATTAATTGTACGGCTTCTTCCTTTCTGTAAACTGCAGTAGCAAAATCCAACTGTCTTTATTGTGAACAACGAGGATAAAGGTGATTGTAACGACTGTTTTTGTTTTTTCTTTGGAAGAACAGTATTGCAGAATTAAGGATCATCTTCAGAACAGGCAGGCCTGGGAGTTTTGAAGCACGTTGTATACTTGACGTTGATGGGAAACGCTGTCCAGTCTCAGAGCAAATCAAAATTTTGTTCGTGATGCATTGTGTATTTCAGTTGGTATCATGATTTAAAAGTTTTCATTGTGCGGTTACAAAATGAATCCGATGGGACAAAACATTATAAATTTCCGTAACAAAACGTACTTTACAGACACTGAAAACCTACTTTTTACCAGCTGCCTTTGCTAAGGCCATTAAACCTTCTGTAGAGTGAGATTTTGGCCGTTCTATCGGCAGTCCCATTCCTCGGGACCAGATCAGTTGAGAAAGACAGCCTAATGCCCTAGAAACTCCAAAAAGTACGGTATAGAAACTCATTTCATGCATTCCATAGTGTTGCAATAGTACTCCTGAGTGGGCGTCAACGTTTGGCCACGGATTTTTCGCCTGCAAAAATAAGCGGTGGATTCTGCTTCCAGTAACGCCCACCATAGATTCGGAGCACGTAGGTCGAGTTCAGTTAATAATTACTGCATGAAGCGGAGTTAAATAAAATAGTTTTTTTAAGTTCTATTACCTTCCCCTGTTCCAACAAGATATCTGGGGTAACTTTATATAACGTTGAAACCAGTTTAAACATGTCGTCGTTCGGTAAATGTTTCAAAGCAAACTCTCTCTGACAAGTGTACCTAGGGTCAGTTTTTCGAAGAACGGCATGCCCGTAACCAGGTATAACCTAGAGCAAAATTTCAATCAAAAGAGAATTCACTTTTCTACCCTATACTGAAAAAGAGGAAAATGAAGACTGTGAAAGAAAACCGAAATCGTGAAACTGTAGAACACTAACTTGGCCACTCTTCAGATGCTTCCAAACCCAATCACGTAAATCCTTTTCTGTGTAGTTATGACTCAAATCCTTTACGATCTTGGAGAGAAACACGAGAACCTCAAAAAGAGCGATTCAATAGCGGAAGTAAAAGTAAAGAAAGTAATAAGTTACTTCTTGATTGGCCAACCCATGAAGTGGACCAGCCAAACCTGCCATTGCCGCTGAGAATGACAAGTATGGGTCTGCAAGAGAAGAACCAACGAGATGGCAAGTATGTGCCGAAACATTACCACCTTCATGATCACTGTGAATAGTAAGATACAAACGCATAAGTTCCATAAATTCCGCATCATCATAACCCAACATTGCACAAAAATTGGCTGACCAATCTTTGTTTGGATCAATAACCCCAATATGAGCACCTAATTAAAAAACAGTTTAAGAAATTTGTATCACTCAATGGCTTATGAAATTTAAAAGTAGAAGAGCGGCCGAAAACTTACCGTCGCGATATAAATTCTTGTAAATTATAGCCGCAATTGTTGGTAGTTTTGCCAACAAGTTCATAGAATCTTCATAAACGTATTCCCAGTAGGTACTTTTATGGACCCCACGCCGATAAGCCTAAACGGCAAATTCGTATTAAAAAACGAGTAAGTATTGAGAGTTTTGAAAATCAACAACTTTCAGAAAGTTTTTAGAGATTTTTGATCATGCAGCTTATCCTATTTTCAGCACATCATAACGAAAGGACCGCTCCTTCACTTAGTTATTTCTCGTCAGTTAAATAGGCGGTCAAAAAATTTATACAAACTGTTTTAATTTCAGTAGTTTCATTACGCTTTCTCACCTGTGCAAATTTACTTTCGCTATTAAGAGCAGAAATAGCTGAAACAAATTGGGCCATAGGATGAACGCTTGTTGGAAAATTCATAAGCATTTGCGCAACATAATCAGGAAGATCAGCACGAGAAGCCCACTCCTTGCTGAATGTTTTCAAGTAATTACTAGGTACCGTTCAGCAAAAAAAGCACTACAGTCACTTAATTAGCAAAAGTTGTAGATAGTGCTATACACTACTTTACCTTATTGTGTCCACTTGTTTTTCGTTAGGGATGTCACCGGTACACAGCAACCACCATATTCCTTCTGGGAGAGGCTGTTCACCTCCTTGAATGTGCGGTAGTAGCTTCTGACATTCAGGAATGGAATAACCTCTGAATCGAATACCTTCCTCTGGATCTAAAACCGAAGTTTCCGTTACCATTCCCTAAAATTAGCATATCCTCAAGTACCCAAAAACAACTTTACATAAAAAAGTAACATTATATCGCGTGCAAGTGTAAGGAAGGAGTGCAATTATCAAACAAATCTGCAACAAATAAAGTTACCAAAAACTGAAAAACAATTACCTTCATTGACCGCATTCCTCCATAAATCATATCGACGGTGACCTGTTGCAAAACTGTTCCGGCATGACTTTTCCGGAATTCAACGACTTTCTTGTTATGTGCAGGTATTTTCTTCGCTAAAACCTAAAACAATACGACCAAAACAAAATTGCTTTTTTAATATAGAGTAACAAAAGTTAAAGAACAGGATTATTAAAAACGTAAAGAAAAGAAGAAAATATTCCTTACCTCTTTAAGATTCGTAGAACTGTCAGCAATAGTAGAGAACTGAGATGCGGAAGATGCAAGAGCCTGCATTTAGACAAATTGTACAAAAACACAAGAAGAAATTTCAGGAATGGAAAGAATATTTGATTTCGAGCAATGTTTGTATCAAAATTTAACTTCTCTATTAAATAAAATGATACTCTTTTAGATCCTACACTACTTCGTTGTTATAACCGTACAACGTAAGTGGAACTTTTGAAAATATTATAATTTCACCAAATCATCTACTTTGTTTACTCTGTTAAACTAATCTAAAATAAACTAAATTGAAGCAATATTACTTATGACGATCATCAAACGCAAAACAGCTTTACCTTAGAAAATAGTTGAGGTAAACGAGAGATTGTCAGGGAAAGGGTCATTATGATGTGCAGAAATTCGAAAAATCTGAAACAATGGCAAGTAAAACATGTTTGTAAGAAGCTTTAAATAATCACGACAAGTGTAATGAAAAATAACGACATAAACAAAAGGATGAAACTGGCAGAAAGAAGCATACATTACTGAAT